CTCAGATAAAGTAAAATCATGTATTTGAGAAACAAGCTCTGCACACTTCCCCTTTACAAGGAAAATAGAGCAAGCAATAAAAAATACTGGTGAACATGCCCTTTTGCCTCAATTTTTGATTCAAAAAATCTTCCTTCTCACAGGCATGCTGTAAAAATAAACGCACTATTTCTCTAGTGTTTACCAACTATAGGGATCAATGCAGAGAAAACCCTGTAGGAAACTAACCTTTTTGGATATCAGGAAGCAGGAAGCATATTCCAAAAATAAATCAAAAGTGGTCATAAACTGACTAGTGAGAATAAAATTAAATGCTGGTCAGCTGTTTCCCTACTTCTAGATGGTCCCTTTTGCTCAGCTAGAAAGTTGATACTGTCTCAGAAAACCCCAATGACCTTGTAGCACCCACATAAAGGACCTCATGCCCCCAGTGGGCTCCGGTTCCTGTCCCCCAGGGGCATCCATAACCCCAGAAGCAGCCAGACCAAAATGTATCAAAATGGCACAAAAATCCAGTGCTTCCTGTGCCAATATCCAAGCAGTATCACGTTACAGAGATCTAGATTGTCTGGCAGCTGGGCTATGTCCTGGGACCCAGCAGGCAGAGGTGGTGGGTTTCTGATGTGAAGCTACCCCTCCTAGCCTCTCCTTTTAAGTGGGATGTGGATATAGGGGCAGATTTAACCAGAAGTGTAATAAATACAATCATCATACATCCATATATAAAGACTTAGGGGAAGCCTGTAACAAAGACATGAAGGGTATGTACACAGAACAGCTCCCTGTACAACACTGGTAAGGAGGTATTCTCCAGACAAAATACAGTCACAGTGAAATGGTTTACCTAATGCTAGAAACAGCAATCCACACAAACAATCCTCATGAAAACAAAGCAGGATTCCAAAATATTTTTGAAACTAGTCTAAATATTTATTTTTTTTCCAGGTTATGAAATGACTTTACTTCCCTGGCTTTCAGCCATTATCTGTACCAAGCCCATTTGCATGGGTTTTTCCAATTTTTCAGCCATTATCCCATAAAACCTTTATCTTTGCATTTTGTAATTACAGTTTGTTCCAAAACCTAGGGACAGTCTGCATGAAATTAAACTGAGACACTTTTCTCATATCATATCCTAACCAGCCTACAGTATTCTGGACACTAAAATAAAACATCCTTAGCACAATGACCAATTTGTTCACTAGTCATTTTGGGAGGGTACTGGTAAAAGCCATTCCTGAATGCTAGAATATTTTCACTCATGCAATATCTCTGTAAAAGCTGACACTGCCTCTCTATGTGTGAATTTTAAGGGTAAATTCACTTTTTATAACAATATCCACTTGCAAAAGAAGAAAAATATTTAAAAGTTTTCAGCCACTATTAAAACTTCTAGGTGCCACACTTAATTTTAAAGAACTGCTTTTTAAAATCCTGATATAATACAAGGTAAACTCACATTCAAGACAAACTGTTGGATCCCTACAAAAAAACCCACAGTGTTTAGAAAAATCACATTGTTTTAAGTGCTAGAATTTGACAAGTAGCAGAAACACTATCAAGAGTGGAAAACAAGACTCAACAAGTCCAATTCAACTTCAAATTGAATTGCAATTAATTTAATTGGATAAATACTTAAAAGAAGAACCTGCACACATCAGGCAGCTGACAACAGACACATCACAGTACAGCTGAGCACAGAAAGGAGAGACTTTGGAGAAGATAAAGACCACTTAGTACTGCCCAGTTTTTACACAGTGTGCAACTTCCCTTTTGGATTATCTGTGATTAAGGGAACCGGTTCTTACATTTCCTAGGCACCTGTTACAATCATGACTTGTTTTCAAGCCTGATGTCACACATTTCTCAAAGTCAGCATCAGGGCATCAAAGTATCATCAAGTTCAAGGGGTAGGAGAACCCGGAGGTGACACTGCTTCACAAGGAAGAAACATCCCACACAGGAGCTCACACACTGCTATGCGGGCAGCCCAAATACACATCCCTGCTTGGCACCTCTGTCCTACTAAAAACAACATAGCACCTTGTAAACTGGCACTGTGCCATTCTGACAGATGGACTCAAGTGCAGGCAGCCAAGAGACTATGTATAAGCATCAAATATGTTTTTTGAGAGGAGGACTTCCAGCCAGGAATGTTAAAACAGCTGTCCACATTGAGCTTGCATGCCTACACTTAAGAGGATATGCTATCGCCACTCGAGCCCTGAGCTGGATTAACTTGGAAAATAAATAAGATAGCTTCTACAGCCACATAAGGTGAGTTTTTGCAGAATCAGGATTAGTAATACTCAAGGGGGGGCTTTACTGACCTACTCTTAGTGGGCACATTTGCAGGGTCAAAAAGCTCATCAGTTCTGAAGCTCAGTGAACCTTTTATCAGGTGCACACTTACATATATCTTCCTTTGGAAGAAAAACATAGAATGCAATACCAGTATGATTATGAACAAACCTGTAAGTGACCTTCCATTTCGTGTTAGAAGATATTTTTTTTATTAATTAGCTGTCCTCACTCAGCACAAACACATGTATCTGTGTGACTGGGACCTGTTTCCCTGGGCTTTCATCTCTTTTTAAAACCTCAACTGCCATGGCCTACTCCAAGACTTTTTGTTAGCCCATGCCTCTACACAGACATACATTTTACATTTTGGCATCACTTGCATAGTTTTCCCCAGTAATAGAATCACACCAGCTGGAGAAGCAGGCATTGCATAACACAGGACGTGAGGTGGCAGGCCTGCAAAACCATGCCCAGGCCACTTCTATCCCATCCCTGCACCTGGCTGAGCTGTCTGGTACCCACAAATCCCTCTCCTCAAGGACATTCAACATTCCAAACCATTGAGAAGATCCAACAAAAACATGTTTGCTCACATCAACGTGCCAAACAGTGTTCTTTTTCTTTCTCCCCCAAAAACTCAGATTTTACTGCCGCCCCTCAAAAAGTCACTGGCCTGTATCTGAAGTGAGGCAAATACTTAAACATTAACAACTTAAATGTTTCCTCAGAACTCCACACTATTTTAAAAAGATAATACCAAGATTTCCAACAGCAGACAACATTGCTTCTAGCACTGAGTGGCTTCAAAGACTGAATGGAGGTGATAGTACATTTTATTCAATATTTAAACACACCTTTGTGTTCATTTTAATTCTCCCTGTGGTCACAATCAAATCACAGCCATAAATTTTTCACACACACTGTAGCTGGGTGTACTCATCTTTGCTCTCCTGAATCACTAAAAATGAACTTTGACGCTACAAGGGTCCTCCCAGTATAGATCAAAGCTGCTCTCGGTGTCTGGCAGCCACAGGGTCACATGGAGTCTACCCAGCTGCTGGTGCCTTTTACCTTTGTTAACTTCGCTGCAATTAAAGTTACCTGAGTCATTTCATTACTATTTCCTGTGCTAGAGGCGCATCAGTGGTAGGCATCATTTCTCCTGCACAGTGAGGATTTCCCCCCATTGACCTTGCCTTCCCCTTTGTTGAAGAAAGATTTCCGCCTCTCTCACCGTTCACCTCGTTTACCCTTCATTCCTCACCTACAGCATTTCCTTTTCTTTCTTCGTTTTTGAGGACTGTGTGAGATCACCTACTTGCAAAAGTTCCAAACTACAATTTAGTAACCTCAGTAACGAGATGCTTTGTTTTTTCATGCTGCCAATAAAGTCAATGCTAGGTTAATCTTAATTTCCATACCACTTAACCTTTCTCAGACAAGAGAAGAGAGGGAAAAAACACTTTGTCAAATACTTCATCATGCAGATTAGCAATGCAGTGAATACCTCTCCCTCCTTCCAAAAACCTGCAGTGCCCCAGGCTTTTTCAAGACACTGCACACAGACTGTGCATGGCTTTAAAACGGTTCAGGGAACAGTCAAATTGCCAAAGAACAGGTCAAAAGGAATAAAAACACTGATCTGGATCCCTGCTTCTGTTCAGTAAAGTAGTTACACACACTCCACAAGTGTATAACTTCCATAAATGTGTGCTTTACATGCAATTATTATCTCCATGGTTATCATAAAGCCAAAGAAAATTGAACTGCAAATGGTAATGCTGAGTATCCAAAACCCCTTCACAGCTCTGTCAGTTCCCTAAGTGCCTCTCCTTATTTGAAAAGAATGTGAAGGGTACATGAGGTTCATTTCTTATAGAAGCATCTGAGGTGTTAATGCAAAGTCAGGGAGCAGTTAATCTTCTTACACATTACACAAACTATCCCGATCAAACTCCAGTAAAGTTTAGTACCCAGTTATCTGAGATACCCTTTCCTCCCACAATCGCACAATTAATCAAGACTTGTCCGTACCTGCTGAAAACATACGCCAGATTGGACACAACTCATTTCGTTGTGCTCCTTGAGCTGCCCTAACCAAACTCAACCCTGAAGGTTTTACACGCTGGTTTATCAGTGAGTTTTTAACTCTGAGATGCCAGATGATGTACCAATGACAGTAAAAATTCCTTGCTAGTTCAAGGCAAATGAATGCTGGAAAAGTAAAACAAAGTATGCCAAAACTCCCTCAAAGTGCTTATTGAGCAGTAACATTATCGACTTTAGGCTAAAGGTACAGCAATCAGAATTTAGAAATGCAAAGCTTCTGTGTTAGCAAAAAGAAACTTGAAAGGGCACGGCAAATTTTAACACTGCTTTCTGAAAAAGTCACCGGCTACTGCCAAGTGCTGAAACGCATTAGAGAAGACAACTTTCTCTGTTCTATTACCCGTGCAAGAGGATGTGAGTACAACTGCTTTTAGGCACACTGCATTAGCTTCACCCCTTACTGCTGTTCACCATGCTACAAAACATTTTAAAACAGGAGAGCATGGCAATTTTACTTCAAAAGGTCATCTGAAAAGGAAAACTTATCACAGATGTTGTTAGGCAGGACTAAGGCAGAAGTACCTGTAACTGGCCCCTCAGAGAGATCTGGGGTTCAGCAAAGTACCCAGGTACTTAAGTTGCCTTACCTAGGTAAAGCGAGGCGTTTTCTTTCTTGACATTGTCATCTAAGTAGGTTGGTCCCAAGGTATAGATGGGTGTCGAGCCCATGCCAATGAGGATTTGGGCACAAATGAATAAAGCTACATAGAGAGAGTGGTCGTTTCCACCGGTGTCCTTGACGCAGGCCGATGAATCCCACTGCTCTTTGGCAGTGCCATTGCCGGCCACGCACAAGCCCTCGTTACTGACGGAGGAGTTCAGTTCCTGGATCTGGTACGGCGGAGAGATGAAGTGAGGTAAGGAGAAGAGCGCAGCGCCCAGGGCGATGAAAAGCCCCCCTACGGCCAGCCAGAGCGGCCTCCGCCCGCGACCCCCGAAGTAGCTGATGAAGACCACCACCACCAGGCTCCCGATGTCGAAGCAGCTGACCAGCAGCCCCGACTCCGAGCTCTTGAGGCTGTATCTCCGCTCGATGGTGGTGATGACGCTGCTCAAGTAGCCGGAGACCATGAGGGACTGGATGAAGGTCAGGAAGCACATGCACACCAGGAAGAAGCGCGAGTCCGCCAGCACTGCCCGCAGGCACGCTCTGCCCGGGGGGCCCGCCAGCAGCAGCGCCGGCGGCGGCGGCGGCAGCAGCAGCGGGGGGCCCAGGGATACCCCTCGGCCGGGCGCCGCCGGCTGGCTGCCCTCCGTCTTCCAGGGGAAGCTCCCGCTGCCGCTGGCGGGGAGCCGGCCAGCCTCGGCGACGGCGGCGGCGCCCTCGCCCCGCTCGGCCTCGGGAGCGGGTCCCGCGGCGGGGCTCGGCCGGCCGCCGCCGCCGCCCCCCCCGGCCGCCAGGGGGGAGCCGAGCGCGGGCAGACTGCGGCACCGCGGCGCCTCCGCCCGGCCCCCCGCCGCCGCCGCCGGCCTCTCCGCCCCGGGGAGCCGCTGCTCCGGGGTCCCCGCCGAGGCCATGCTGGGTCCGGCGGCGGCCTCACAGGAGCCCGGCCGGCTCCATCGCTGCCGTGCGTCGAGTCCGCTGAGGGGCCCGGCGAGAGCGCAGCATAGCGAAGAGGGGAGGAGGGAGGGGAGGGGGGTGGCCCTAGCCGCGGCCGCCGGCCGCCCCGCCGCACGTGTCAGCCAAACTCCTTTGTGGCTCCATCCACCCTCAGTCTCGCTCGAGGGGCCGCCCGCCCGCCGGGGCGCCCGCGCTGCCGGCGGCTCCCGCTCCCCGTCGCCGCATGCCCGCGGCGCAGCGCTCAGCAGCCGCCCGCCGGGGCCCCGCGGACAGCCTGCCCGCCGCGGGGCAGCGCCGCCCGCTCCGCCGCCCGCATCCTCCTCTCTCCTCGCCGCCGACGCCGGTGACGGAGCTCCGGGGGGTTGCTGCCGATCTGCGGGGCGGAGAGCAAACACGGGAGGTCAGCGGCGCTGGCCACAGCGGCCCCGTCCCTCCCCGCCGCCCCGGCCTCTGCCCGCCCGACCCCGCGGTCTGCGCTGAGCTCCAGGGAGCGCCTCCGTCTCCGTCCCCGTCCCCGCGGGGGCTGGATCACGGCAGCGCCCCGGGGACCGCGCGTCCTTGGGGACGGCACATGGATTTACATAAGAGCTGGGGCGGCCTCGGCCAGAGCGCGACCCTTTTATTTGCGCCGGATGCGACAGCCAAAGGTCGCCGTGCCAAGCCTTTTATTTTCTAGCCTAAAAATAAATGCGCTGAAATAAATACTCCGCTACAACTCGGCAGCCCGGGGAGCGGCGGCAGGCGGAGGGAAGGGGAACAAAGCAGGAGCCGGGCAGCGGCGGGCACTCCGGGACCCGGCAACCCGGGGCCGACCTCGCCGCCCCAGCTCGCTCGGGTGCTCCCCGGGACCGCCGGGTGCAGAGCGGTGCCCAGACATCCCTACCCCGGCAGCGGAACACGCCTTTTGCCTCCTTTGTCCGCTTTTGTCTCCCCGCCGCCTCCTGCTCGCTGCGGCCCCGCGGAGGGGTGGGCGGGGGAGGCAACGGCACCCGGGCAACCGCGCCCCGGCGCGGATCTCCCCCACCCCCAGGGGCTGGCCAGGGGCAGGGCGGCGGAGCCGGCGGGGCGCACCGGGTTCTCCTCCCGGCCGCTGAGAAGAAAAACGACGGGACTACTCACCGAGCGTGCGGCGCCGGGGGCGGCCGGCCCGGGCCCTGCGCCCCCGCCCCGCCTGTCACCCAACGCCGGGTCCCCCTCGGCCGCCTCCGCCTTCCCGGGCGCCGGAGCGCAGGCGCGCCCGCCGCAGCCGCCGGGCCGGGCGATGCCGCCGGGCGCTCGCTGCCCTCCGACCTGCCCTACCGGCCCGCGGCTACCCGGCTGCACGCCGTGCCAGAGAGGCCGGAGCTCCCGCGGGACGGTGAGCCCGGCGGCGGGACACGCCTTGGGGGCTGCCCGGTCGGTGCCCTTGCTCACCCTGGAACTGCTCAGGGCTGCCACTCGGCGCTCGTGGCTGAGAAAGTCCGCGGAGCGCCACGATTGGCAGCCCCGGGCGGCGTTTAGGGTGCTTGGGATGGTGTTGCATCGCCTTGTGTAAAAGGCAGAAAAAGAAGGGACCTTAGTTACATCGACTGCTGAAAAGTGAGAAGAACCAAGGGATTATTTTTAAAATTTTTGTCTTAAGGAAAATAGATCATCTGATGATCCTTTTTGTCCAGGAACTTATCTCCAATACAAACCAGCTCCAAAACTGGGAGCACATGCAAAATCCAGGAAAAGTAGTTCAGAGTTAAGTTCTCATAGAGTTTTCTCCTAATCCCGTTCTTTAGGTTTGTGTAATGTCTTGAATTGCACTGGTTTGTTTTGCTCTCAAGTCCCTGTATTTAAAGCCCTGGTAGCAGCGTAAGGCTAAATAGTCATGCAAATTATTTGTTGTGGAGTGATAGAGTGTGAACTATTGATATATTTGTCTTTTCCATAAAATAATGCAAAGGAATACATCAAAGAAGCATAATATCATACACATTTCCGAATAGTTAGTGCTTTTCTGGCAGGATGGCACATTTACCATTTATTTGTTTCTCCTCCTTTAAAATATTTAAGACTGACTCACCACTTTTTTTTTCTTTTTTTTTTTTTTTACTTATTTATAGTCTGGATCAATAAGATCATTCCATACCATATTCATGAAAGACACCATCTTCAAGTTTTATGAAGCTTTTATCCAGAGGTATTTTGATAACTCTTTGTTAACACTTAACTTTGATAACACTTAACACTCCAACTGCTCAAACTCAACACAGCAAAAACAGTATCTTTTTTTAGTTTGGTTGGTTTTCAGCTGCATTTTTCCTGTTGAGAAGGTATCCCAAGTTTAGTGCTTGTTTAGGCCTTAATTTTATTATTCTTTAAAAACTCATTCTAATGATTCATTCTTGCTACATAAGGTCCTTACAACAATTTGTTTTATTTTATTATCCCACAGCTAGTTGTTATCACTGCAGCTCCTCTCTCCTGCCTCTTCCACCGTCAGCTTCCCATGGCCACAGCTTCTGTCACTGCAGCTCTGGCACTCACTTCAGTGCACAGTAAGCTGAATAAACTCACTGAGGCAGCAGAAAACCAATCCAAGGGGAAAAAAAAAGTGTTTTGCTGGTTTTATGAGCTGAATCACTTCACCAAGGATGGGAGCACAAGAACTTGAAAAAAAAGTATAAATGGGAAAAAAGAGGTCCATGAGGATAGAGGATAATCCATTTCAACAAGAACAAGCTCTTAATTCAACTCCATCTTCTAACCCTGAGGACATACATGTAATTCACCTAGGCAGTATCCCTTTAGTCACTCCTTTGCACTTGCACTAGTACATGAACCACTAACTGCAGTTTGTGAGTCTAATGGAACATATATATGGCACCTCAGTGCTGGCTTCTGTCCTTGCTTCACAGCAACCCCATGCAGCACCACAGGCTTGGGGAAGAGTGCCTGGAAAACTGCCTGGAAGAAAAGGACCTGGCAATGCTGGTCAACAGCCAGTTGAACATGAGCCAGGTGTGTGCCCAGGTGGCCAAGAAGGCCAGTGGCACCTGGCTTGTGTCAGCAATAGTGTGGCCAGCCGGACCAGGGCAGTGATTGTCCCCCTGTACTCAGCAGTGGTGATGCTGCACCTCCAGTGCTGTGCTCAGTTTTGTGCCTTTCACTGCAGGAATGACATTGTGGTGCTGGAGAGTGTCCAGAGAAGGGCAACAGAGCTGGGGAAGGATCTGGAGCACAGGTCTCATGATAAGCAGCTGAGGGAGCTGGGGTTGCTCAGCCTGGAGAAAAGGAGGCTGAGGGGAGACCTTATTGCCCTCTACAGCAACATGAAAGTTGTATCCAGGTGAGGATCAGTCTCTGCTCCCGAGTAACAAGTGATAGGATGAGAGAAAATGGTGTCAAGTTGAATCAGGGGAAGTTTAGATTGGATATTACAAAAAAATTCGTAATATCTCCACCAAAAGGATTGTGAGGCATTGAAGAAGACTGCTCAGGGAAGTGGTGGAGTCAACAACCATTCTTGGAAGTATTTCAAAGACATGTAGATGTGGCACTTTGGAATATGGTTTCATGGTGGACTTGGCAGTGCTGAGTAACAGGTGCACTCAATGATCTTAAAGGTCTTTTCCAGCCTGAACAATCCCATTATTATTACATCAGCTTTGGGATCTTGTTCTATGACTAGGATTCCTAGACACTGTTGTGTAAAGCCAACAATAACTTTTGTGAGATTGCAGAATAACAATAAATACACAAAAGAGTTCTCCAATCCCATGGGAAAATATAATGGCAGAGCATTACCAGTTTCACAGCCTTTGCAAACATTTTCAGGTACAATTTCAATTCTTTCCATAGTGGCAAGCCTATCAAGAGAGAAACTCGCTCATAGGACTTTGTGAAGATGTTTCTTTTGGGAAGTTATTCCACCAGACTACAGGTTCTAAAATGTTTGACTTCCCTGCTTACTTTTGGATCTGAATACTTAAATAATGGGTTGGCAGTTGGGTATGATCATCCAACACCAAGTGGTGAATGGGAAATCAGTATTACTCTCTTCACTTGACAGGTTGACTGCAGAATGTGCAACAAATGGTGTCCAAACTCACAATAAAATACAATTTTATAAAACTTACAATGCAAATTTCTCCTTTTAAAGTTTTACCATAGTGAATTTAAAATACACAATTTCTCTCAAGCGCAAAGCAGTCAATTGGTGTAGCAGACCAGCCTTTTTAACAGCTAGAACTGCAATAGAACATAGTTCCCATTTTACTAGATTAAGGACATGGGCTGACATCCTATTTTGATTTATCTGTGTTAATGAAAGACATAAAGTCAGTACTAGTGAATGGCATGTCCTTCGTCCTAAGAGTTCCTAAGTTCCCAGCTGACAACCTCCTTCCCTCGTGGGCTGCCCTGCTGTGGTGGCAAGTGCTCACACAGTGCTCTCAGCTGCTGTTCTGAGAGGGACAGGACCTTAACCCACAGCTTGGTCTCATGAGCTGATCGGTTCCAAAGGAGAGGGTACCAGAGCTACCCAGGCACCATCTTTTTAAGGTCACACTTTAGTTGCTCTCAGTTTCGAGGCTTTACATGTCCTTGATGGTTCAGGGAACTGGTGATGCCCAAGAGGTACCTCAGCCTAGTCTATTTCAGGGCACAAAGAGAGGAAAAATGCAGCTGAAGGGTGGCATGAGTTGATGGCTCTGCTTTTCCTTCAGTTTCACATTTCCAGCCAGGTTTTCTACTCGATGAAATGTCACAAATACAATAAATCAACACACTTGTCTCTCTTCCCCTTTTCCTTCACACTGCTGCCATTTTTGGGCAACATCTTCTCTTCATTCCCAGCCCAATATTAGTAAAAGAATAAGCAAAACAGCATGTGCATTAGGAGGCTAAAGGACTTTAATTCTCCTGGAGCATGAGCACTGGGAAGCATAAAGCAAAAGGACAAGAAGTGTCACTGCTCGGGGACCCTCAC